CTTTCTGCAGTTGGAAGTGAGACCTGAATCCATCTTTATTCACCTGTACCACTTTACCAAATTCATCGCTTGTTAAATGATCTCAAGGGAAGATGACCTACATATAATTCCATCCCGTACATATATGCAGAACGGATCTGACCTCAGCAAAGCATTATTTTTATGTCAGAAGTTAAATCACAGGCAACATCTCTGAGCTGAAAGACAGTCGACTTCATTACATACATTCCCATCTGCCTGTAATGACGCGTTCCAGAATAAAGATGATCTGTCCACAGAGGTCAGTGGGAAGTGAAGGGGACAGCTAGGGAGAGCAAATTCCATAATACACACATTCAAAATATTAAAGAAAACATTAATAGCAAAAGATCAAAACACAGAGAAAAGCAAATATTTATTAAAATGAAACCACTGGTTTGACTCGAGCTTGAAAAGAAATTGGAAAGAAAAACACAAACAGGTCATTGAGCTCATTTTATGGGCTCAGACGTCTAAACTGCCCAGGGTTACGTTCCAAGAGAGCTTTTTTCCATACAGACACGTAATGCTTTGAAGAGACCAACATGTTTCTACTTCCCTTCTCAAGAAAGTTCAAAAGAAACACTTTCCAGGTTGGAAAGCAGAGCTGAGTTTTTCTTATTTTTTAGGGACAGAAGGACAAGAGACAGTTAAGCAGACTTAGCTGACTTACCTCGTCTCGCATGTAAATGCACACTGGAGAGAATTCACCATGCTGTTCCATAAACTCCCTGCAATAAAGAGCAAAATACTGCAGCATCCGTAGAACAGCCTACCCCCTCCAAAACCAATGCAGAGCAATAGTAAGAAGTTAAACTAGCTAGAAACAGTCTCCTGCTCCAGCAACAACCATTGCACAGTTCACAGAGTCAGTATTAGACATCGGGTAAAGAATCTGCTCCAATGCATTCATTATTCCTTAAACACAGCCCTGAAAATTTAAAAACAAAGGATAAGTAATTAAAGTTAATTCTGATATTAGTCAATCTTACTAGCTAAATTTGAGCACATCATTCTTCATGTGCCTCAGGAGACAATCTGGAACATGCCTTCATAATACTTGCTCTTTGTAATCCCTTATCTAAGTTAAATGGTTTATTACAGTTTAGACTGTACTTTCCCTGGGGACACGTCAGTTTCTTTCCATGTATGCAGAGCAACAAACAGAATGAAATACTGCTCAAAAGCAAATAATCTGAGGACAAATAATTTGCCTGTCTTAGTATCGGACAAATTAAAAAAGAAAAAATTAAAAAAAAAAACCAGCAGAAGCTTTCAGATTCTGGAGACCAGGGACAAAACAAAAGACACAGAAAGGCTGCTGCAGTAGACAAAGTGAAGACCAACCCACATTTAAGCATTTCAGTGAGGCAGGACACATATCAGAAACAACACAAACTGCTGACAGGCCATCTGCAGAGGAAGACATAAGTGAAGGACTCTTAGCATAGAGAAATGGGAAAAAACAGTAAGATGGTACTCTTGACAAGATGCTACTCTTCCCGTTTTCCTCTAGAAAAGCAATTCTGAGACATTCAAGTAGAAGAGAAGCTTTATTACACATTCACTCGATCAAACACAGAAGATGGACTGGGAAAAGACAATCACTGCCTGTCACAGCAAGTCTCAGTTCTTATCCATCCAAGATCATGCAATTTCAAAAGAGAGCACGTAGGAAACCCTGCAACATGGTGCTCCTAAAGGAGGGGGGGGGAAGGACTAACACTTTTAGCAGGGAAACCTCAGATGTCTGTAGCAAAGTAAGATGCCTTCAAGAATTAACCAGTACATTACACTGAAGCACTGAAATCAGAGAGAATTAGATTCAACAGCAGAAGAAACTGTCCCATGCTGGTCTCCCCTTCAGCCATCAATGTGAAACTCCAACTGACATCAGCTGAGAATGTGGTAAAACGCGAAATTAAGGAGAAGAATAGTTTGCTTCTCCCCCCTCCAAGCACACCAACGGCAAAAGGTGACCAGGAGAACACTGTCCATGCTGAGACAGATGCGGTTCGGACAGATAACTGACTGAATTCTCACAGCATTTTTTTCAAAAGTCTTAGATTCAAAAGTTTCAGCCTAACTTAGTAGGGGAAACTACAAAACAAAAGGTGAGAAAATCGCCCCCGGATATTCCCCATCAACACAGTGAGAACTGATGAGATTTATCCTTCTCCATAACACTCCAGTAGCTCTTGTTGCACACTCTATCCTGAGCTCTCTGTCATTTCAGTTGCACCAGGACATCCCTTGGTAAGGAGCTGGTATATTCCATCTGCGCTGCAACAGCTGTTTTACAGTCAAAAGCAAAACAGCTGAAATACTGCCTCATGGTAAACTCCCCTGATCTTAGTGCTCCCTGGAGTCCAGTCTCTGGGGGGAAAAAAATGGCTTTCCCCCATGCCTCACCCCACCAGGAACCAATCACCCATCACTCGAAGAGAACCCACCTCTCTGCAGATCAGCTAGTGAAACCTACCCGACAGCCCAGCAAAGCAACACATCCTTGCTCATCTCCTAACTCTTACCACTTCAGCAACCTGCTTGCACAGCAGAAGACAAGAGGCTGCACACCCAAATGCATCTCACTACTTTGAATGCAGCTGTTTCAATAATCTTACGTATGATCATCATGTTCAAAGTTACTTAACAACAGCTTTGCCGGTATTATCTTTCTATTACATTCAAAACGCATCACAGATGGGCAGCTTCACAGAATAGATACACAATCAATGTCTTACATAGTATTTTAACATTAATTTATTCAGGCCAACAAAGTGACATAACAAACTGAACAGGGAAGAAGTCAACCAGCCTACAGAGTAGAAAACGAAGGGAAATACCCATTAAGTTCAGGGAAAATGCATCAAGAACATTTACATGTAGACTCAAAACTCAGCTTCAATTAAATGTAAGCAAAATAGCTGGAACCAGAAGTCACTCAGCATTGAGCACACCACCTGGAAATTACTACACCCAACCTTTGAGTAATCCTCAAGAGCAAGAGCACATCAAAGAGTTCCAGCTAGAGGATGTGGGGGACCAAACCTCTAAAGAGCAGACCACAGTTGAGACTTCCATTTGGTTTAATTGTAGCAGTCTATCTCCCGTCTTAATCTAACAGTTAAAACTTAAGACTTTCTAAACAAAGCATGCAACAGCATGGTGATATGGGACAAGATGAGTCACAATGCAACTGAGAAGCCCTACTCGCTAGAGCTGGCAAATCCAGAGCAACCTGTAAAACCAGTCCTGAGGGCCAGGTCTGGTTTAGGGAAGTCAAGGGCTGACAACTACTTCCAGACAAGGTGCATCAAGTCACAAGGGTTTTATAATCCTCAGGTACCATTCTTTCAGAACACCTCTCCCAGCCACCACAACAAATCCTGTTGTGCAGCAAGAAACAGACACACCCAGAGCATCCAAACTATTACATTCAAGCTTCAGATTATGAAACACAGTTAACTTTCTAACTCAAGATGAACAACCAAAACAACACTAGAATAGGTCTGACACCATTTACGGTTCTGCAGTTATTCTCTGTCAAGGACAGAAAGCCTTACACAAGGCCCTGCAGGAATCAAGAGATTAAGTTCCTAATATCGAATTAGCATAATCTTGTGATTCAAGACTCAGGCTCTGACCTCCCTCACTCCTTTTTCAGCAGTAACTGAGTAAGCTTGATGAGCAAAGGCAGAAAAATATCTTGCCTCTTGACTGGAAGACTGGAACAAAACAGCACCTAAGAGACTACCTTTAGTACACCATAGCAGGATGTGTGCGCTCAGACTGTTCCAGACAATCCAGGAGAGCTAGTCATCCCCTATCTTATTTTCAGTGCTTTTTGCTTCCAGTCAGGATCAGCTGTATCCCTATAGGAATCCTCAATGGAAATGCACAAAAGACAAAGGACTGCTGAGACACGGCGGAAACAGTACAGAATCACAGAAAAGGCAGATGAAACAGCCCAGAGCAATAAAAGCTTGAATGTCAAGTTGCCTGTCTATCAGGAAAGGTGGATGATCACCATTTAGGAGGACAGAGGCACAATGTCCTCACCACAAAGACCTGCAAAAAAGGAAACCAACTTGACGTACACAACCCAGTTTCATTCATCTTTCCAAAACGGCTTTCTCAATTTAAGCAACTCATTGAATTCAAGCGCTTTCTAAAAACGTGTGGAAAATATCTGAACTTAAGGAATGATACCACAAAGTAGCAAAGAGTCACAGTCATTGTCAAAACTGTCTTCAAGTGCCCAGACTGCAATCACTTCTACGTAAAAGAGTCTACAAGGCTGCTGAAGCTGCCAGACAGGCAGGAGTAGCAGACAGAAAAGCAACAGCTCTCCCAGGCCTAATGCTAAAAGGGTACACAACGCTGTGCCCTCAACCAGTCTCTGTAGAACAGACTCCAAGCAAAGATCCCCCAGAGACTTATTTTTGTATAACTCCTGGAAGCCAGCAGGCTCCTCCTCCAGCTGCTGTTAATCCATTACATGCATTCACTGAGGCAAGCACACACATCAAACACATTGTCATTTCTTTGATGTGCTGTTCTTTAGAAGGGGAACAGCAAGCAGATTAGATTCCTTCATGTAGTGATCTGACAGGGCCTGTAAACATCTTGTGCAAGGACTGCCGCACGCTGAGAGGAGGAGCAGCCTTACAATAGCTTCCAGACCTTCTTCAGACCCAATTAGCCAAGATGGACACTAGAAACCTGGGGGAAATTCCAGTGGATTTAGAATACTTCCCCTCACGCACTTAGAGCAGCTGAGCATTCCAGGAAAATGTCTCCAGTTGGAAAGTCACAGAAGGATTCAGCAAAAGTCAACAATTAGCTGACTAGTTAGTCAACTGAGTCAACACACAATGAAAAGCAACATAGCCCATGAAATCTATATGGATGGCTATAGATCCAACTTGTTTTGTGATTAAGTCACACACAGCATCTTTGCTGCTTGTTGAACTTAATCAAAAGTTTGCAGAGTCCAACCAAACATCTGAGTTCAGCTTCCAGCGGGCCGAAAAGAACAGCTGTGTCTTATGAACTGAAGTTAATAATGCTTAGCACACTGCAGCAGTTAGAGTCTTCAAAAGAGCAACATGCACATTAACTATTAGTATTACAATAACCTGTAACAAATAAAACCACTCCAAAGGAGCAAAATTATATAAAAAGCTCAAAATTTAAACCAAAGAAATAACTAATGTGTGAGAAAGCCACACAAAGGCTATTTGTCACTGTCCATAATTACCATCCCCACCAGCCTAGCAGTTCCCAAACAGCAACAGGCACTCTTCTCCTCCCAGAGGTCACAAAGTATGTAGTAAAGTAGAAGAGGGGCCTTGAAAAAGACAGGAAAATTATACCCGGCTTTTCTTGCCTACTTCGTTCCCTGATCAAAAGTAAAACAATTCTTTTCTCTCTAGCATTTACATGAAGACTGTCCCTTTTGACTTAAGAGTAAAATGCCACAGTGTAGGCCTGGTCCATCACCATTAGAGACAAAAAGAGAATGATCAGCAAGACTCATTTATGTCACTTCAGAGTCACTAGGCTACCTCCAACATTTCCTCAAACTATGGTTTGATGACACAACACGTTGAGCAGAAAAACTGACATACTACCCATCTGCTGCTTCCTCTTTTTGGATTCTTGCTACCAGACACGCTACAGTTCTTGTCATCACTGCCTATGAGACACAACCCTTAACTGTGTCAGGAAACCTACCTACCTGAAAGATAATGTAGGAAAAATACTATTTTGCAGCTGAATCAGCTATTCAGCCAATTCCCAACACAGCTGCACAAATCGTATGAGGGGAGTTAGACAGGAGGGCAGGAATTGAGCATTAACTGTTCAATCCCTTACTGCTACACAGAAAATGCCCCCTGATCCAAACTCCCTCCCTTGCCCAGCACTAGTCACTCCTTTGATCTTGTTACAGGCCAGTCAGGGAGCTAAGCTAGCAGAAAACTAACAGCACAGCAGTGGGAAGCTGGAAGAATTAGTTCCTTCACCCTGACAACAGCTCTGGAGCAACTACAGTCACACAATTCAACTGTGCAACCCTGACTTAATGAGATAACATCAGCCAATTCAACCCCAGAACCATGCTGCTTAGGATATTTCAACTGTAGTGTAGAAAGAGCAACTTTAAACTTCAGTTAAAGTAATTTATGCTAGTACAGGTTAGTCTAGTACTAACACACACCCGTAACCAGTCAATCACTACAGCTCAGCTAACAGGTGACAATCCACCATTCTGCATCCTGTACCTGTACTGTAAAAGGCTGTGTTTATCTGAATGCTACTGCGCTATCACCCTTATTACTGACTACTCTTTTCATTGCTTTTCTAGCACCACAGCCTTGGAGACTTCAAAAGTTTTGACACAGAAAGCTACTGTCTCTTTAGATGAGTATTTAATTGGTTTGAGAAAAATAACAAAAATAGTTCCAACTTGCACAATACCATAGCACAACATCTGTACGGATGGGCAAGAGATTCAACTGCAACAGAGCAACTAGCAGAAGGCGAGGAATGTAAGAGAAAGAACAAGCTAGAAATACAGGATCTAAAAAAAACCAAATTTATCAAGAGAAAGGTAAAGCTAACTACAACTGAAAAAAATGAAATTTGGAAATTCTTTTCAGAATAGAATGGCTGTCACAGCTTCAAGGCTTCATCTTCTAAGCCCTGACAAAAATAAATGAACTGTCTTTAGAGAAAAGTTTATTAGCTTGACATTTCAAAACAATACAGTGCTTTAAAGTCAAAACTAAAGACAAAAGAAAGCATGAATGTAGTCTGAACTGTAATAAGATTTCTAACCCACGTATATATTCAGTAAATGTAGGACCAGAAATTCTTCCATTTAAACAGGATCTAATCAGTCTTTTGAAGATTCCACATTAGCCTGCTGAGAGCTCCAAATTTCCTTGAAGAACTCGCAAAACAGTAAGCCTAAAGAGCAACAGCAACTCACTTAAAAAGCCTCTCCATCACATGGAACCACAGCACAGAAATACTAGTGATCAAGATAATGTAGGTTACCACCTCAACTCCGGCAGTAACTTGACTTCAAACAAGTCTGTGTAAAAGACAGGTGCAGCAATATATCCATGTATAGTTTCTTCCCAGCCTTATCAGTCTCTTACCAGTTTATGCCCTGAACCAGGAGTGCTACTCCAGAACTGAAAAATAGTAACAAAACTACGAAGTGTCAAATCTGAAAGAGCAAGGAAAAGGCAAATGTCTGTGTTGTAAAGGAAAAAAACACAGCAAAATAAATGCAAATTCTACAAATCTTCAGGATTTAGCTGGGTCATGGTAACAACAGCTAGCTACTGGCATAGAGAGATCCATCCAAACAAGTATTTTCTCACTGCACTGCTCACCTGATCTTTGCAAAATGGTTGAGAAGTTCCCACAAAGTCTGTCGACAGAGAAAGGTGTCTTGTAAACGGGAGCCATCATCCAATTGTAATGCAACCCGAACCTACAGGAAAAACACACTGAATTAATCTGAAAATTCAATGAAAACTTTTTTTTCTTCACAACAAATTTTTTCAATATTTCAATGATCTCTAGAACCTGCCATCCAAAAAAACATCACTTCCTTCTAAACACTTGCTGCAAAGAATTACATCAGTTAAAAATGCAGAGTATTCAAATTATTATTTCAGAAGTTAATATTTAGAATAGTTCTATTCTGCTATGAACATGAGTATTATGTATGAGGATCCTGTGAGAGACAGTGTCAAAGGCCCTACTGAAGTCCAGTTAGACAATATCCACTGCTCTCCTCTCATGTACCAGGCTAGTCATTTTATCACAGAAGCTTATCAAGTTGGTCAAGCATGAGTGCGTCTTCTTGAATCCATGCTGGCTACTCCTGAGGATTTTCCTGTTGTTCACGTGCCTGGAAATGGTTTCCAGGATTAGGTGCTCCATTACCTTCCCAGGGATCAAGGTGAGGCTGACCCACCTGTAGTTCTCTGTGTCCTCCTTCTTGCCCTTCTTGAAGGCAGGAGTGACATTTGCTTTCTTCCGGTCTTCAGGCACTTCTCCTAATCACCATGATCAATCAAAGACTATCAAGCATAGACTTGCGGTCACATCTGCCAGCTCCCCCAACACTCACGGGTGCATCCCATCAGGATAGACTTACACATGTTCAGTTTGCTGAAGTATTCCCTGACCTGATCCTCTTCCACTTAGGACATCTTCCTTGCTCCAGCCTTTCCCCCTGGTCTCTGGGACTTTGGTACTAAGACTGGGGCAAAGAAGGCATTCAGCCTTTCCCCTGTCCTATGTAACCAAGGCCTCTGTCTTGTTGAGCAATGGGCCCACATTTTCCCTAGCCTTCCTTTTGTCATCTAGGTACCTAAAGAAGCTGCTCTTACTGTCTTTGACGTCCCTGACCAGACGCAATTCTAGTTGGTCTTAAGCTTTCCTAATTTCATCCCCAGGTGCTCGGACAAGATCTCTCTATTCCTCCCAGGTTACCCACCCTTGCTTTCGCTCTCTGTACCCTTCCATGTTGTGTTTGAGTTTGGTCAGGAGCTCCTTGTTCATCCATTCAGACACACTGGCACTTTCGCCTGACTTCCTATTCGTTGGAATGGACTGCTCTTGAGCGTGGAGGAGATGATCACGGAATCACAGAGTTGTAGGGGCTGAAATCCTTGAATATTAACCAGCTTCCTTGGGCTCCTCTTCCCTGCCATATCCTGAACCGAAACATATTCAAAAGCCAATGCAAGCGTCCCAAATAACATGTCACCACAAGCAATTGATATGTTCTGCTTTACACTAGCTGAAACTTTACAGCAAGGGTCTTCACAGCTATACAAGATGAATTCCAATAACCCAGCCAGGACTGATGCAGCTGCATAAACCAAAACACCAACGCAGAGCTGTCGATTTAAGCACTGATTTGCGGAACTTCACTGAGGCAGAACAAACAGTATACTTGTACATCCACACAGAGAAACAACGAACACAGCCCAAATCTATCTTTGAGTTACTGAAGAACATACAACTATCATCAGTCCAAAGAGATATATGTAATTTGCAATTCACTAAGGCTTCCTAACCACAAAATACTGACATACAATTTAAGAGTAAATTAATCAAAAATCACAAAAATAATTCTGGACATTCAGTTAGTAAGCTCTTAAACACCTGCAGAAAAAGCCAAAGGACAGCTAGCTGTCTATTCTAACAGGCCTTTTCCAACCTGGGATGTGAACATTCACATTCATTAGCAGGGGCTCATGCAGATCCTTCACATTCTTCAGAGCACTGCTGCCATTAAAAAAAAAAAAAATCCAAGGCATTTCTAAAATGAACACACTGAGGACAGTCCTGAAGAACTTCAAACTCCTGATGGTCCCAAGGGAACAAATCTAGCAGCCGACCAAGAGATGGGGAATGGCAGAGCACTTCAGGTGTTATCTTTACATTTTAGAGAATATTGAGCCTTCTTTTTCAAAATGTCTAACTCCTAAGTTTTCCCACTTAGCTCACATGTCTAAAGAAATGCAAAGAAAAAAAAGTCCCTATGAGATAGCACCTAGTGTCTCTAGTCAGGTACGGTTTTCTGAAGTCCACAGAAACTGGCCTTATTCAGAAGTCTGAGAAGGACATAAGCCTAGGACACGAGCAGAAGCTTTCTTTCATTCTGTGTTTTCATGTGTCCCTACCAACAATCTCAGGGCATCCTCTCTCTCGCTGTGAGAGAGTGTGTGTGTGAGCATGATGGGAAGAACGAGCGAGAGATGAGAAAAAATAGACACTACACACTCCAGCAATCGACTGTGATTTCCTTGGAGGAGTATGTTTGTCATCTGCCTCGGCTCCTACCAGTCCTTGCAGGACTGCAGATTGTGATCTGCTGGAGACAGGAATTTTTCTACATAAAGGAAACAGTGGCATCGTCAACAGAACTCAGTCGTTTCATCCCACTGCACAACCTCCTGGTTTCTCCTGCGCTGGAGACAAGCCTTAGATTACTCTCAGCTACAGCAGAGTGATGACAGCTGACATCACCATGCTATAATAATCCAGCCCAGAAATTCAAACTACCAGTTGCATCAGTTTTTGGGCAACAGTTCAAAGCTAAGTATGTCACGAAAGTCCTATTCAGTCAACTAGAAAAATATTTTTAAAAATCCCAACAAAATAACAGAGAGACCAGTGCCAATCATCTTCTAAGTTTACAAACATATAAACAAAAGGCTAACAACTTTAACACTAGAACTGTACTGATGGTACCCCTAGATCACCTGCCACCACAAGGGAAATTTGTTCAAGTTTTCACTAAAAAAACGCCTTACAAGAATCAATGATTTCTACATGTGAAGACAACCCACCACAGAAAAGCACACCTGCTTCCACGCACGTTATCTCAGTAAGAGACAATAACAAAAGGCACAGAACCAAATTCATCCCAACATTACTGCAGCCGGCCTGCATGACTGAGTCCGGATCTCAGCTGCCACTCTATCAGGGCATAACGCTAGTGTCAGTTCTAGTTACAGTTAACGGGCTGTTTTAAACTTCCTATAGGATTTGACACTAGCTCCCTGTGGAAGGGAATTCTTTTGGTCAATTGTTCCGTACAAAGTATTTTCTTATACTGTCTGTAAAATTCTCCCAAGTGAAACCTCTGCTCTAAGCTTATGGGATAGCAATTCTGTTTAGACTGCACCCTTCACAAGCTTATTTGCTGTATCTTCTCAACTCCATAAAACAGCAACGCGCACTCCAAGGGAAGCCTCATTTCCGTAGATTCTCCTGTTGAGCTACAACTGAACAGTAACAACTTAAACTTTCACTAGGTCTTCTTTGGTGATCTGAAGTAGTGATTCCATGTTATAGCCCCCCTGCTACAGTACACAGACCTTCTCATCCTTTCTGGTACTGGGGGAAAAAAATAATAAAATCCCTGTTTTCCTTCAGCACAACACCTCTCAAAACTGGATGCAAATGACAGGCAAAGTCAGCATTGCACCATTCTAACAGAAATACTTTCCTCTGGAAGACAAACTCCATGCCATCACAACTTCTTTAACTGAAAATTTTAAGCAGATGCTACCAGCTTGTGGTATTTTTCTTTAACTAAATACATCATTTGGAGCACAAACTTCTTTCTGCCACAAAGTCAGAAAGAAAACATTAGCGTCAAAACAAAGCACACTGAGGTTTTACAGAGAAAAACGTGGACATCAGTGACTCCCAAAACTACGCTGCACACGATCTGTGAACTAGAGCAGAGATTCCAAAACCACTTCACACTACAAAGCTCACTTTTCAATGTATGTATCAGTTTACCTTTGTGACAGCTAAGGCAACTGCCTGTAACAAAATACCACTAACACAATTTGGCAGACAGACTTTAAGAGATTAGCACTAACAGACCTGAAATTTTCACAGAAATTGAGAAACTCCGTATGAGGAAGTCAGTAAGAAGAGAGATGACTGTTAGTGACAGACAAGTTTTCATTCCCAGGCTACTTAAATAAGAACATTCATCATTTTTACCACATAAAATGTTCACGTTCTTTAACACCTATGCATCGTTCTAAAAATTATTCCTCCAGCTGTTATGACATGCATAAAAGATTTTTAAATCTCCTAAACATGACGATAATTCCTACAGAATGTGCCATCTGCAAGCCCTTTGTATGTCATACTAAACAGGGACATTCTACAACTGCTAAAGACAGCACACACCACAAAGAATTCTAAAGCTGTGTGAACACACCGTGAACAGCAACGCCGGGAAAGAAGCAAAAAATAATCCTGTAAGAATTTGTGATTTTAGTCAAAATCCAGGGGCAGACAACAGTAACTGAAATAGAAATGAGGAAAGGGAACTGAGTTAGTAGCTCTAATGCTGAGCTAAGTCATCAGTAATGTTTAACTTCTTATACATTCACAACTACCAGTTTTTCAGCTCCCCAAAAGATCTCCCTATCCTCCAGCACACAGCTGGAACTACACCACCACACAGGCTTCGAGCAAAGACTTCCAGCTACTAAATTACCATTTTCCACCACACCTCAAACAGCCTCTGGGTGGTCTTCCACTCAAGCATTGGCCAAGCCTAACCATACTCTTACTCATTAGCTCTGAGGGGATCATACCCAGCACGGCTGGTAACTGAACAAATCGGGTCACACTGTGAAATGAACATACCGTGTTTCCACCTCCCACTCTATTAAGAGAGACTGGCACCATCTCCAGCTTGGCATTGTTGGGCAGTCTGGCAAATCTCCACTGTAAAGAGAGATCCAACACACTCCTCTGAAACCTAAAGAAGAACACAGCCCATGAAGACACCAGGAACCACCCTCTGCCACCTGCAGATCGCTTCAGAGACTGGCAACAATGCAAGGTCCAGATACTGAGCAAGAGAATTCCCCACAGGCTGACTGGATGCCATAGAGCACGATTCAACACCACACAACTTCTGGTAACTCAGAACACAAATTTATTCTGCATGCCAAAAAAGCTGCAGTTCGTAGAGGTCACAGATAAAATACCCAAATATACGTTCCTCCTCAGGCTTTCAGAGATAAACAGCAGCCGAGTACATATCCAAGCCTCGTGTTCACTGTTAAATAAAAAGGTGGCTTTCTGCGGTTGCATTTCGCTGCCACTCAGACAAAGCAGCTCTTGGTTACGACACCCCAAGGCGCAGGGCCAGACCACCAGGTGAGAAGAGTCCTACCCGTCTGCGGGAGAGCAGCAGGGCGGGGGGGGGAGACACACGTCCTTGTGGAAGTCCCCCAAGGTCTCGGTACCGGCCCCCGCAGCGAAGGGAACTGGGCACGGGGAAGCCGGAAGAGGCCCGCCCGACCGGCA